TGTGGAAGTCTTTGAGCAGACTAAAGACATAAACAAAACCACATTCAGATCAAATCGAATAATGATAATGCGCAACTAGTAGTGACCTTTCGTTGGAGTCTTGGGTTCAAGAAACAAAAGTTTATGTTTATCACGTAAATAGTCAATAATTAGCTTTAATCAATTTGCAATCCTCATGTTCTTACCATGAAAGCTGAATCCTGTTACGCTCAATCTCACGGGCAAACTCATAAACATTAAACTCGGATAGTTCATCCTCAGCACGTTGCCACAATCATTCTCATATCTCCCTCATATTTCATCTCTACATGCATTTGCGCATCCGTATCCTGCTTTACTTCATCTTCATATACTTCACTATAATACAAGAAATCCCCAGCTACTGAGCTACCATTTTCCGAGAATACTTCCTCGTCGGGAAGATAAAACTCAGGGAAGGGATCTGTTATATCTGTGATTTCTACCTGAGGAGCAACAGTACCAAAGGAAAAGTCCGTTATTTCTATATCGCCTATAAAGGAAGGTTTATTGGTCGCCGACCGAAAATGAGAATTGAGTGCATCCTGAACTTTCTTTGCTACTTCAGAATCTAGTTTATCCCAGTGAATATCAAAGGACATGAGGGAGCATTTAAAAAGTCTGGTTCAAAGTATATCGGTCCCAATTCGAAATAGGCACATAGTCTAAATATCACACGTGACATCTATCGTATATTCAAACAATTGGGCAATAGTGCGATGTGCCCATTTTGTTAGATATCTCATTGCTATCAACAGGTATCCCGTTGATAGGTTACCAAGTCTCGCCTCTTTGCCTCGAGTTGAGTATGTGTATATGTATTCGCATTTCGTTTACCATGCCCTTCAGTCGGCGAGTTTCCGTACACGTCTTTGTGATGCAGCAGCCTTATAAAATTTGAAACCTTATTTCATTGTATTTGGATACACTTCGAACAAGTTTCATTGACATTACATTCTAATTTTAGAGAATTTAAACCAATAATCTCAGGAAAAGATGTCACTCACATCTGAGACATTAAGATCAAAAATCCCGAAATCGAAAGCATATCTACAGTAAGCATTTTAGTAACCTCGCAGGTTTGTTTGGATCATATCAACACTTGCTTGCCAGTCCATATTTTCACAGATGATGAATGGACGGAAATGAAACATGATTTTGACGAAATGGTTAAGTTTAAGAATATATACGAAAAAGAAGAGTTGTACGAAAAACCAAGGGCAAATTGAAAGACTTAATCAAACACATGATCAACGCTTAACAAAAATGCTGTGGGATGAGGTTTCCCAAACTCAAGGATATCGTTGGATTGGTGGAATGCTAAGTAATGATAGACCGTCTGCTTATGAAGATGAGGATCAAGGCAACCCAGAGTGAATGAGATTTTTTGTCAATTCTTCTTGTAGAATGCACAGTGAAACCAAAGGACCTAACAATTTGGTTCGGTCTTTTTTGTCAGCATTCGTACATTATATTATGACTCCAAACCTGATTCCAACTCCAATCCCAAACACGAAAGCGGGATACTCCTGAGCCAATCTGTACTGCTACCTTCTCGCCAGCGTTGTCTGCTTTGCCGATAGTTCATGTCGATTTTGTCATTCCATTTTCATGGTTCCAGTAATCCTCAGTACGAAGCCAATAACAGCTAAATTCACTTGGGTCGTTTTAAGTGAAATAAAAAGTTCTATAGAATCAACCGCGTGGGGAGTGCTCCACGATCTTTTGACGACAAGAGGGTCGGGCTTCTTTTCTATTGAATGGATGACTAAGGTAATTATTCTTTTAATATGGAAAGGGTTTATATCGAGTGCGGAGAAATAGATAATTCGTCGGTACAACCTAAGCGGCCAGATAGCTAACTCATCAGACTATGTCATTGCTCGATTAATTACGTGTACATCATAGCCCGTTTATGAATACTTAAATATTTGCTGGACATCTTCAGGATTTCCATGATTAATAGATGATGCAGAGTTGAAGTTAGACAAGCAATGGAAGTAGTCAAACCGATGTCTTACCCAATTCAGCACATACAGTGTGTTACAAAAGTCTTTGAACAATCAGCGACAAAATTAAAAGTCATACAGCCCAGCCAAATTAAGTACCACTGTTATAACCATATTTGCCTCCTCATCTATTACTAACTTTACTTTGTTTACTAATGACGATCTATTTATTATTATCTTTTGTCTCAATAAACGCGAATACAATGAAGTCTATCAACCAAATTGCACAAGCCCAATCCATTCAACATTT